AAAAAAGATTTGTTTTTGGCCTTTCATTTCTAACATGGCAGTCATAAACCAAAAATACTGGTAAATGATCACTGATATCATTTATAAGTAATCCACTAGACATTTTGCTATCAATATCATTAGTAAATATATTATCTATTAGTGTTGCATGCTGGGTTGTTAATCTACTTGGTTTTGTAATTTTTGGGTATAAACTACATCTATATAATGTGTTAATAAACTCCTCAGTTGCTGTGTGCTTGTTAGGATTCAACAAATCTATATTAAAGTCACCACATATGAACATTAATTTATGACTTATTGACGAGTAATTTTCTTCCAGCCAGTCATTAAATTTTTTTTATGATGGCTCCAGGTGCTCAAGTTTTACGTTGTATGATAGAGCCATTGTATGATAGAGAAATGTAGTTTCAGATTTATGGCCCGAGGAGCAGAGGGCTGCCTCGGTTCTGTACCTGAAACAAATTTCTTGTGTGTACTTGGCCAAATAAAGGTGATTATGTTATAACACCCCGAGAGTGGATGACGTCATTGAGCCCTGCAGCTTCACACTGACTTTACCTGATATAAGTAATGCCTGTAGCTAGTGTTATATCGTCGGGACATGTGCAGGTGTTTTTATTTATTTATTTATCACGGCCCATGTGTTAGTTTGTGGACTAATTATTGTGCATGGATTTTAAGTGTCAGTTGCGCAGTGCTCAAGTTATTGTGAGAAGGTGCACTATGTTATTATGACACAATAGCCTACAGTATGTCGTTATAACTAGAAAACAGTGCCGTGGTAACTTGAGAAATATGTTTTAACGAGAACATATCTCGTAAAAAGGAGAAAGTATCGTGTTACAATGTTAAATTCAGTCAATATTTTATATACTGACACTGATATTTTTTATTCTCCAACAGAAAAGGACTCAGATGCTGTATTTGTCGTTATGAAATTACAATAAATGAGAATGCAACAAAACTTAGTGATTCAATTACTTCTGCAATTGAAAATCTCAAGATTGGTTAGAGAGGTCAGTCCTGCTCAAAACCTTTTAGAAGCCAATATCTCTGAACTGCTGCCAGTGCTGTTCAGTGAGTCTGGGTCACAGGAGGCCTCCACAGCACCTCTCCACATTAGGACACGTTTTGGAGCATGTTT